CCGCGGCGCCGAGGCCGCCCGCGCTGCCACCCGCAGCGCCCAAGCCGCCCGCGCCCGCCGCGCCCACGCCGGCAGCGCCCGGCGCACCCAAGCCGCCCGCACCCGCGGCGCCGGCGCCGCCGGGCAGGCCGAGGGAGTTGGCGGGCTGCGGGCGGCAATTGACGTTGATGGGGACTACTGGGCTGTAAATCGTGTTGTCCGAGGGGCAGCCGCGCACCGCCAGTAGGAACTGCATCCCTTGCTGGCTGCAATGGTTGGCCACCTGCGGGCGGCATTGGGGTGGGTCCATTGGGCGCATGCGCAATAGTGTGTCTGGGCTTCAGGTGCTGCGACAGCCGCGAGGCCCGGGGCGGGCCCAACTGCGTCTTGGCATCACTATTCTGTCTCAGCACGCGGCACGCCGGCAATTCAAGACACCAGCCGACAAGGTGCGCTGCGCACAGGTGGGGTGTGTCAGCAGCGGCCCACCCACCGCGTCGCTTATGTAGTAATCGCCGTTTTGATTGAAGTCCAGGGTCACCAGGCCACGGGGGGCGGCCTGCACGGTGACGGCAAGAGGCAAAGCCACGCATGATCACCCCGTTGACTACTGCCAACCCAGCACACTGCGCCCATGCTGGGCCGCTGCTGGACAGGATCCTTAGCATCCAACTGGCAGCCCCGGTCACTCCAATCAGCTTTCGTGTGTGACAGCTTCGTCAGCCACTCAGTGCAGCCCACCGTGAAGTTCACACCCCGCGCCCACCTGGTAGATGTACTGGACGTACTGCTGGTTCTTCAGGGTGCTGGGGCAGGTGTCATCAATGTTGAGCACAACTGCAACGCGTGGCGAAAGATATGCACAGCGCCCGCAGCGTCACGCCAGGGAAGCGGCCGACCCCGCGGCGAGCGGCAGTGCTTTGTGCAAGTGCTGCCGACAAAGCACGCGTTGCTCGCGCTCTGCCGGCTGCACGCGGCTGGGCGCTCCCAGGCGCTCCTGCGGCCCGGTGCTGGACTGCTGAGCGCAGGCGCTTTTGTGGCCGCTGGTTTGAGGGAGGAGGGCATCGCCAATTGGGTGTTGGGGTCAGGCCGGCGCACCGGAGTGGTCAACGCCAGAGTCCATGGGGCTCCAGCTGAGCTGGATCGCCCCGCCGCAGCACATCACCGCGTCTGGGTGCGGCGGGCTGGTCTTCCAGATCAGCTTTGTGGTGTTGCCGGCCTGGATCAGCAGCGGGGTGCCCTTGCGGGGGTTGACCGCCTGCCCGCTGGCTGCCGGTACTGTACCAGTGAGGCAGCATGCATGCGGGGGGCGTGGTACATGAGATGGTGGCGGTTCACAGGTGGGTGCGAGCAGGACTGCCAGCGCGCAGGCCTGCACGATGCATGTCCAACGCGACCGCCACCATTCTCGCCAGCAGCTACTCGTGCCAGCTGCTCGGACATCGTGCTGCATTCCTTTGGGCGCGACACGCCGCATGATACAAGGGCAGCTACGCTGGCATGCAGCTGCCTATTGTGGGAAGCCACCAGCTGCACGCGCAGTCCCACGCGCCGTGCTGTTGGCTGGTGCTGACCGCTGCGCACCTGCCGATGCCAGCAGTCCCGCTGCCAACAAAGCAACAATGACCTGCAGTACGTTTCAAGTGCGCCGTGAGGGCTAGCTCCTGCGCTTTTCGGAGCCCTGGATTGAAACAGACACAGGCTCCGCTCCAGCCGGGTGACCCGCGTCCTCATGCCGTCGAATTCCCCTTAGACGTCCCAAACACTCTTGTATCTGACATTCTGGCCCACCTTGGCCATTGAAACCCGCCTCGCCAGTGTGTTGCCGGGCTGGTTGCAGCTCAAGCTGTTGGGGTATGTTGTGCGGTTGAGCGCGACAGAAGGGCTGTAAGGACACCGAAGCTTCAATTCTATCTATTTGTTGTCGTTTCGAAGCCCCATTGCATGCCGGGGCCGGGAAGAGGGCAAGCGAGTCACTGGGGCAGGCACTGCAGACTGCTGGACCCAACTTGGTACCTTCGTCTCGTCGCAGGGCAGGCAGGACTCGTACGAGTGGAATTGTCTTGAGCTGATACGTCTACATCAACAGCCTGATATAGCCTTGATGTTGATTGACGATTTTCACAGCAGTGAACGGGGCCCAGCGACGCTCATTCGCCAAGAGATGGGCATTGATTCGTTTGAAAGATAGGCGTCGTCGTGTTGCAGAGTCTAGGCCGGGGACATGCGACACCAGCGATGCAGCCTCCAAAGTGCACACCGTGCTGCTGCTCCGTGGGGCTACCCTGCACGCCCTACGTCGCTTGCAGGGATTGTGTACTCGGACTTATGCATCCGGGTGAGTTATAAAGCCGCTGCCATGCCAAGGGGTGCTTTGTGGCCGAGTTTGCGCTTGCCGCCGCCAGTGCGTGCTTTGCGCGCATGCTGCATTGGGGCGTTGCATCGATAGCTGCACTGCTCTCCCCACAACGAGACACATGATGAAATATCACACGCAGGCGCAAGGCCGCGGACTGTCAGGCGCCACTTGCAGAGTGCAGCAGCACAGGCCCACCTCGCGTCCTCGTGCAGCGGCAGAGGCGAGAGAAGCAGACGGCACCTGGGCAACGCCATCGGCAGCAGCCGCAGCAGCAGCAGCAGTAGCACCAGCTGTACAGGTAGCAGCATGGCCAGCAGCAGGAGCTCAAGCAGCAGGCGTGTCGCAGCAAGAGCTGGCCAGCATCGCATCTGCTGGTGTCTCCGCCCGCTCTGGCGGCGAGGTTGGCAGCAGCAGCAGCAGCAGCAGCAGCAGCAGCAGCAGCAGCAGCAGCAGCAGCAGCATTACGCGAAGGCGCAGCAGGCTGAACGTTGCGCATGAGGAGCAGCGGCAGCAGCAGCAGCACCATCAGAACCACCATGCTCACCTCGGACAGCGTGATGGGCAGCCCCGGTATCCTTGGCCGGCGCAGCAGCAGTGGCACGGCCAGCATCATCGGCCACCTCAGCAGCGGCAACAGCAGCAGCAGCAGAAGAAGCAAGAGGAGGATCAGCAGCAGCAGGAGCCCCCGTGGCTGCGGCCGGATGCAACGTACCGTCAGCAGCAAGCCGAGCTCGTCGCAGCAATGCAAGCCTCACGCAGCTTGCCACGGCTGGCAATGCTCGTTGCTCGCGGTGCGAATGATATGGATGCGATCAGCGTGTCTTGTGCGATGGGGTGCTTTGCGCGGCTGGTCGCGGCCGCGCCGGAGCAGCACGGTGCGCTGCGGGATGCGTGGCGGCGGCGGCAGCAGCGGCGGCAGGAGCAGCAGCACGAAAAGGGAGGGGAGGACATGGGGGAGGGTCCAGATGGTCGTAACCAACAGCAGCGACGGAAGCAGCTACAGCTACAAAGGCAACAACGGCAGCAGCAGGGGCAGGAGCAGTCCGTGAACTGCCCCAGTGACTCCTGCGAAGACGGGGGCAGCAGCAGCAGCAGCAGCAGCAGCAGCAGCAGCAGCAGCAGCAGCAGCAGGCCCAGCGACGCAGACGGCGACCGGCTGGGCCGAATCCACCAGCTTTTGCTGCATCTCGTGCTGGACCGTCTGCCCGCCTTTCGGCCTCGCCAGGTGGCAAACTGCCTGCACGCTCTTGGGAAGCTGCACTGCAGGGACGCCGTGGCTGCTGGGAAGCTGCTCGCGGCGGCGCGAGGGCGGCTGCACCTGTTTGGGGGTCAGGAGCTCGCAAACTCGCTGTGGGCGATGGGGGCGCTGTGGCTGTGGCCGCCACGCGATTGGATGGTGGAGTGGTATGCGGCAAGCGCCAGCCTCATGACCCCTGCGAAGAGCGGCAGCGGTGGCAGCAGCGGACTCGGCGGCGGCGGCGACCACGGCACCAGCACGCACGTCGGTGCCGCAGGCCGCGGATCGGAGCAGCGCCAGCCGGCGCGCGGCAGGCAGCGGCGGCCGCCCAACGCCCAGGAGCTGGCCAACTCGGCCTGGGCGCTCGGACGCCTGCGGCTGCGGCCGCCGCAGGCGTGGCTGGATTCGTTCCTGGCAGCTTCCCAGCGCGAACTCCACAATTTCACGCCGCAGCAGCTGTCCAACATGCTCTGGGGCCTGGCGGGCGCCTGCGGCGCGCCCGCGCGCGGCCGCTCGGAGGCCGGCGGTGGCGGGAGCTTTGTCGGCGACGGGGCGGCGCGGGCGCCAGCGCAGGCGCTGTACCTGCCTGCTGAGTGGCTGGTGGCGGCGTGCGGGGCGGCGGAGGCTCGACTCAGCAGCTTTGCGCCTGACGAGCTGTCGAGCATGCTGTGGGCACTGTCCACCTTGTGGCAGCAGCAGCAGCAGCAGCAGCAGCAGCAGCAGCAGCAGCAGCAGCAGCAGCAGCAGCAGCAGCAGCAGGGGAGTGAGCAGCAGGGGGAGTCGCAACAGCAGCGCGTCTCCGCCGCGCGGTGCGCAATCGTTCGGCTGGCGCAGCGCTCGTGCGCTGCGCTGGCGTCTCACGCCGCGTACCTGTCAGGGGGCTGGCAGGAGGTCAAGCCCGTACAGGACCAGCCGCAGGGCCCCAGGCGGCCAGCGCTCTTGGGAGACGGCCTGCGGCGGCGGCAGCAGCAGCAACAGCAGCAGCAGCAGCAGCAATGGCAGGCGCGGGCCGCGCCCTCGGTGGACCAGCAGCGGCGGGCGGCGGCGGCGGCCGAGCTTCGCCCGCTGGATGTAGTGAGGGCCCTCGCGCTCTGCCGCGCGCTGGAGCAGGGCGGCGGGGGCTTGGGCGGCGCCTG